CTGAGACGAGTGAGCTAGTTAAAGTTTTAGCTTTAGCGATTCATACTATATATACAGCTTACAATTGTTTAATAAAGTACACATAATTAGCCTGACAGAGGGTTTAAAAAAAAAAAAAAAAAAAAGATAGTTTATTATAATAATTAATATATATAATAATTATTTGAGAATATATACAATAGATATATTACTCCTTTCTTTCTTTTCTTTTTTGTCTATACATGCACATACAACAGTGATTCTTACTCACTGAATAATTCAAATAAAAATTGTAAGGCTTGATAAGATATATAGTGTGTTAAGAAAGTCTTTGGACATGGATTTTTATTTATAATTTTGTAACTAACGTTTCATATCATATAATTTATAGCTTAAATAAAAGCTTAAAATGATATGAATAAAATAAAAAAATTAATATAAAATTTGTTTATTTCTATTTTTAATTACAAGTTAACAATGTTTCTTTATTAACTCGATTAAATTTATTATAGTCTTTTTAATACATTTTCTCACTCCTCAATTATAAATTTATTCAATTCTTTAATATTTTTAAGTTATCATATTTCTATATCCCTTTTGATAATAGATAGGTCTACTCTACTTACTTATTCTTATATGCTTTAGTAAGCATTATCGTAAACCACTGCATACAATATCCCAGGTATTAATCAATTTATCCCATGATAAATTGATTAGTACCCGGGAGGTATTCTACTAGAAGGGGGGTAGTATAAATGGCAGAATATTTAGTATCTTATTATCATCTGACGTATCTCTTACTTGCCTATTCATATTGCAATTTTATTGATTCTAGCTTAATATACTTGGGTAGTAATCATTTATTGAGTAACAATTTTCTTGAATACTACCGAGTATTATTTAAGAAGGAATATTACTTTAGGGGGAGTATTGTATGCAGTGGTCTATGGTAGTGTTGCTAAAGGAAGTTTCTTTTTAAATCTATAGCTATTTAAATAATGTAAAATTATTATATATAAGATGTTTATTTTTTTTTCTTTTATTTTATTTGTTAAAGTTCTTGTTGATATGGTCAGTTCTTATTTAACTATTTGTTCCAACATATTTGAAACCTCCAGTGTTAATTTTTTTAAAATGATCAGAATATTTCTTGTAAATTATAGATCCAAATTTTTTTATAATATAGTAAATAATAGACCTTTGAAGATCTATTTTATGCTAAATTTCGATAACATCTTTAATATAAAGATGATCTACACAAATTGATTGATGATCTTCATGTTATTTGTTATAAAAAAAATTATAATAGGTAGAATAGATTGTTAATATAAGACAAATAATAGGTAAGATAATGATGTTGAAATATATTTAATTTAAGATTATTCAGATTTAAATTGGACAAGTTGTGTAGCTTTTAATTTTGTTAATAATTGTTCAAAGACTTTCTTAATATACTGTATAGCAGTAACAACTTGCTGATAATAATGCAATGAACTAGAAGGGTTTTCACCCAAAGATACTGTAAAACAAAATATTATTCCTAAGGCTGAACTTAAAGACTTTTATATTTGCAATGAGTTAGTTAGATTAGAATAATAGTTTAGCTATAATATGTATCATGCTGCTCAAATGAAAATGTACTTTTGTCTTCATTTGATTAATAAACTAATGATCTAGCCTGGCTATGGGTACTCAAAAAAAAAAAAAATTAACTTGCCAAATTATTTATTTTTTTGATAAACGTTACATGAATGATATTATGCTAAATAAAAGTAGAATCTAATACTTTAACAATTACCAGTAGTAGTGATAGGAAAAAAATGACACACCTTATATCACTTTTGATTTTCACTGTCAAAGTCATAGTGTTATTGAACTCATCGTAATAAGGGTTTGCAAGACAAGAAATTATTGATAACATTACACACTTTCTTGTGAATGCTTGAAACACTAGAAACTAATAGATATGTCCAATATTGGATATTCTGAAAGAAAACACATCAATCGAAGATAGGCTAATGCCAAAAAAAAAAAAAATAGTTACAGTACTCCGTAACTACCTCCAGTAAAATCGATGCCGAGACTATACTATATAAAATAGAATACATAGAAAAATTGCTTAAAGAGTATGTTTTGAAGTTTTATATCCTTCGCCTACATTCCCAAATATATACCCTTTAAATATCAAGTAATCGGAAACACGCTAATGCATACGTAATAAAATGGCATCATTAAAACATGTTATTAATGAGACAGTTTGAAACTCGGGCGAAAAAACTTCCAAATGACCACTTTGTATAGAGGGATCTGTGTAGTCTAAAAAAAAAAGTTTTACCCATTATGTGATATATAATTCGATATGTGCCACTCTCGTATTCGAACAGTCGAAGATATGGATTCCTAATAATAAAAAACCAAATGGCCCATTAATTTATAAAATGGATCCAAAGTTAGATTTTTGAAAATTAATTATACTCGGCGGGGAACCACTTATGTTCTTAAGGCTTAAGGCTAAACCAACACTCAAAATAACTTATAATCTCGTAGACCCAATGATATGACATATAAAAACATATGGTGTAATGAGGATAAAGCTCTTTTTGAATATATTCTCAATTGTTTATCATTTCTGGTTCAACATCCAAATAAATATTCTTGTTTCGCGTTCTCCATCGTGATGTGGAAAGAACATTATTACACATTTTATTCGAAAAAAGCTTATTCGATTCAAAACTTGTGCATTCAACAGGAAAATTCAATGGCCGTATTCAAGGGCGTGGTCAGTGGAGAATGACAAAGCGAATGACCATTTAAAATCTCTAGCCACAGAAAACTATGTCACAATCGAGCATAAAGGAACAAGGTGATGATGGTCATGCTGTTTTTCAAACTACGTGAATCGATGGGTGACATCGAAGAATTTTCTGTCACATCAACGCCTACACCTCCTGAACCAGAAAAAATAGAACCCGCCACATCGAACGCCAATTATATCGAAACAGGTAACGAAGAAGCAGCACTCAATCGAAAACGTATCCACCTGGATACCTAACCAGGGAGCAATGACACACTATAGATAACTGCCAATAGATTATTATTTTTTTCCTATAACTGTTTCTGTTAGAATCTTAATGACCCTTGCCTTGCCGCGTGATTCGTATAATTCTTGTGTGACGGAATGTTTCAGAAGGAATAGCTTGCGCATTTGTATGATAATCCGCGGTATATGGAACGAAAAATCGGATTCCACTCATTGCTACGTGATTCCTCGTAGCACAATCTCGAGAGGTGTTTCATATTTGTCGAAAGCAGCCTATGTCTAGTGGAACGGATGAACTGAAAAAGTATCCGAAGGCCAAGTGGGGGGAAGCTTCGTAAGTCTCCTATTTGCTTTAATGACCGGTTATTTTATAAGCTAGCGGCTAATATCGGATTATTATCAAGTTTACCCAACCCTAATTCTTTTCGATCTCTTTATTATTCAGTGAACTCTTAAATATTCCTTGAAATGATCCACATTTGGGCCTTCAAATGTTCTAACGTTTTGATATTATTGTATCTCTTTATAATTTGCTTACGTGTTCTGGTGTTTTGATATTACTGCATCTCTCTCTTTATTGTTTAAAAAAATTTATATTTACTATTGAGTTTAAATTTGGCTTATAAAAATTAAATAAATATTGTTTATTAACGTGACTGTTAGGAAAGGAAATTAGGTGGTGTGACGGTATATTTATAATCATTCGATTTTACCCTAGGCGCCACTTCGCAACTTTTTCAACGTAATTTACCTAGTAACTTTTGACAGGTGTTTTAGAATGTCAGCAAGTGATTTGGTGAAAAATAGCGAAGAAACGAGTTCTTCAATACCAACAACTGAAGACTTTGCTTCCGATCCACACGCACACTTTGTTGAAGCAACGGGTAAATGGGTATATACAAACGACGACGGTTCTACCTGGGAATATGACGAATCGCAACAACAATGGCAACAAGTGGTAAGTCTTTATAATTTTTTTAAAGGTTTACATTTTGAAATCACATCGAGTTTTTGAACTTATTTTAGGACGAAGATATTTTAGTGAAAACTCAACAGCTTGCCTATGCGGTTCCTGGTGTTGACGAAAGCGTAAGATACTTTACCATGATACAATAAAGTCCAAGAAAAATGTCACTTCAATTGTCAACACAAAACGAATTTTTTGTGTTTTTGTGTCCGCCAAAGGAACCTGCTGCTCCAGTACGGGTTAAACGAAAAAATGTATATACCATCGATGATGTACGTATCTGATGAAAATAAGCCGCTCTTTTATTTCAAACTATTCAATCCCGTGCAATATTGTTGAAAATAAAGGCAGACCAAAATTCCAAAAAGCAAAAACAAAATTTACAGAAGAAAAAGCCGACAAATACTTCTGTATACGTTAGTGGGTTACCTCCTGATGTCACTATCGAAGAGTTGGCTGAAATATTCTCAAAATATGGAGTATTACTTGAAGATTTGAATTCTGGTTAATTTTTCTTTCAAAATTCGTGAGAAATTTCATTCATTACTCTAATACATTTATCTTTTATTAAAGGTGGTCCAAAAATAAAACTCTATAAAGATGATCAGAATCGTCTTAAAGGTGATGCACTTGTGACTTATTTAAAAGAAGAATCTGTAACTCTAGCTTGCCAATTATTGGATGAAACTGATCTTCGCCCGGATGAAGCTTCTAAAATACGAGTGCAAAAGGTATTGTTTTATACTATACTTGTAGCTACGTATCTAAATTCTATGAATGGTTATAACCGATTTTCATCCTTATTGCAGGCACAATTCAAAGAGAAGGATCCAAAATCTTCAGTAGAAGGTCAAGGTAGTGATCAGAATAAAAATATTAATGGAAAATCTGATAAACGAAAGGTCCAAAAAAAGCTGCAGCAACTTGAAAAGTAATATTGAATATTATTACTTTTGTTTTGTTGTCTAATGCTTATTTCAATGTTTTATTAACCTGGAATTTTATATTTATCCAAGAAAATTGGACTGGTTCGAAGTTGAGCCCGGGAAAAAAGCCGAACGCTATAACAAAATAGTAATTTTAAAACATATGTTTACATTGGAAGAACTGGAGGTAAATGAGTTTAAAGAGATTGTACTGTTTTATAAACGCGTGTTCATTATATTTATTTATATATTTCACGTATGTAGGAAGATGTTGGTTTGATTCTTGATTTGAAGCAAGAAATCCGAGAAGAGTGTGAAAAATTAGGTGAAGTTACGAATGTTATCCTTTATGATGTAAGTGACATTCGTATTGTTTTGACGCAACCCCGCATATCTCTAATTTATATTCGCTAATATAGAAAGAACCGGATGGCGTTGTTTCGGTGAAATTTAAGGAACAAGTTAGTGCTGAAGCATGTGTGCTGGTAATGTCTATGATTTTAAATGTGTTCGTAAATTTTTATCAAGTTCATATTTTCTGAAATCAATAATTATTCAATTCATTAGAAGATGAATGGTCGTTTTTTTGCTGGTCGTCGAATTGAAGCACAAATTTTTGACGGAAAGCAAAAGTTTCAAAAAACTGGTGTCGCCTCTAAAGAGACAGATGAAGAGGAATCGGTTAGATTGGAAAAATATGCTAAATGGTTGGAACAAAATGATAATAAATAAATATTCAAGGTGTTATAGTTAATATGTACATTTTCTATCAAATGTCGAGGATTGTGTCTACTAAGAGAAAAAGAATTGGAATTGGTTACGCAATTTAAATACTGTACGAACTCTGAATATTTGGTAACATTAGTTATTAAAACTATATGTTTTATATAAAATTTATTATTATAATATAATTTACTGTATATTGTGTAACAACATCGGAAAGAAAATGTCTCGTTATAAATATTTTGAAATTTATATACAGTAATATTAACATTATCTATTTAACTAATTTATTTATTTTCATTAATTCTAACTCAAAGTATAACTTTAAAAATATCTTATTATATACTGTATATAAGATAAAATCTTTTTATTGATTTTCATTTTTCTTAAAAATTTTTTTTTTTTTTTTTTTTTTTTTTTTTTTTTTGACAATTTTTTTTTAAAATTAATATATTACAACACTTGTATTATACAAGTTCAACTATAAGAGAAAACAATTTATAATATTATAAATATTGTAAGATATTGTATTTTTTTTTTAAATATATCTTCTGTCAGGTTAATTATATGTGCTTTATTAAACATTTGTAAACTGTACATATAAAATGAGGTGCTAAAGTTAACTCTCTAATTAATTCATTTGTATTGATTGTATTATCTCTCTAAGTAAAACTTTGAAAGTAATTTATCACTCTATTAGTAGTTTGAATGAAAATTTTTCCAACTTCTAATATTTTTGCCTACAAGTTATTACTACAAATTACTTGTTCAAGTTCTGATAGAGATCAAAATCCAATTACTTTATACTATACTTCATATTATTTAGTAAGATTTCTTTCAACTTTTTATCTTCAATTATTTTTTCTTTATATACTTATTTTTTATAAACAGACTTTCTATATTCTTGATCTTATTTTCTTGATCTCATGAATATATTGATCTTTTTATTTTGTTACTTTTGTAGATTCCTGATATCTATTTTTACTTAATTACCTTCTTATGTCTAACATTCTATATTTTCTTTTAGAAATAATTATATACTTTCTTTTGCATTTTTATTATTTATTTTCCTATCTCTTTTTAACTCTTTTATTACAATATTTTAAATCCACTATTTTATAATTAAATCTTTCTCTATTAGTTCCATATAGAAGTTAAGTATATTTCAATTAGTTTTAAGATTTTTTTCCTAGTTTCACTATCTATTTATTAATCTCTTCTATTTTCATCCTATCATTTATTATTATATTGAACTCTTTTTCTTCAAATTCTTTTTTTCTATCTTTCATGAGCTTTTTGAATTCTTTCAAAATTTCTTCTATTTTTTTTTGCCATATCTTATTTTACCAAGTCTTATAAATTGAATATTCTAATAAGTATTTTATTATTTATTCTTTCTAATCATATATAATATATTTCACTTGCTTTTAAAAATTTGATCTTCTTATAATTAGTTTATTTAATATTGATAACTTATTTATTTATTTATTTTTTTTAACTCTCTGTCAGGCTAGTTATATGTGCTTTATTAAACATTTATAAACTGTATATATAGTATGAATCATTAAAGCTAAAAAACACTAACTAGTTCACTCGTCTTTGTAATTACTATTCTAAGTGCAACTTTGGAAATGATTTATCACTTCATTAGAAGTTCAAGTGAAAACCTTTTCAACTATTAATATCATTACCTACAGGTCACTACTATAGATTACTTTTTAAGTTTTGATATTACTCAAAACCCAACCATCTCATCCCAAATCTAACTCCTCTTGATAAGATATCTTTTAGATTTTTATCTTTTAATCTTTCTTTCTTCAATATCAGAGTTTTCTTTTCCAGTTATATGGTTTTGATGCCTAGGAAATTAGTGAATCTTTTTATCTTATTTTTCTTTTGGATTCATTGCAATCTTTTCTATTCTATTATTCTTTTACATCTTGTATTTCAAACCTTCATCCAGAACTGGTTACAAGTCTTATCTTGCAGCTTCTTGATCCATTTTCTTACTTCTTTTCCGATTATTTTATCATAGCATTTAAGATCTATCATTTTGAGAATAAGTTCATATTTTATTAATCCTACAAAGAAACTTAACATATCCTAACTAGTTGCTGTGAACTGTTTCACTAGCCTGAAAGTTTACTTGTCTACTTTATCCATTTCTTCACTATTATCTACTATTAATCTAGTATTCTTCTTTTCTGCTTCCTTTTTTCTTTTCTGTAAAAGTTTTCTGAAATTCATCAGAACTTCTTTGAATCCTTTATTTCATATCTTCTTTATCTGTTCCTTATATGTTGGGCATTCTAACAAGTGATTAATTGTTTCTTCCTCCTGAAGATCACATGCAGTACATTTCACTTGCTTGTATAGATTTGGCCTTCTTATTATCAGTTTACTCAGTGTTGATAGCTTATTATTCGTTAACTTGATCAGGAAACTTTTTCTTTGACAATCTTTGAAAGATGTATCCCACGTATGTCTATTTATTCTCTCCCATACTAGATCCTATGTATAACCTTGTTGTTCTTAAATTTGGTGGCTCCATTTCTTTTCTATTTTATTTTGTAATGTCCACTGATATGCTATAGTCTTATTATTCATTTTCTTGATAAATTGTCTTATGGGATCATCTAAAGTTTGTTTAGCCACTTGATTTCTGTAGAAATTTTGTATAAGAGGAGATTTTTTTATTTTATTGCTGGAAGTTTAAGAGCATCTTTAGCATAGACATCTGCTTCATTATTATAGGGGTCTCGAGAATGTGCCTTGATCTTAATAAGCTTCAGATCTAAATCTTTTTTCTTAACCAGTTCTACCATTCGTACCCATAGTAACCAGTTTATATCCTTTAGTTATCTTTTATATATTCTTTTTGGATCATCTTTCCTAAGTATTTTTCACTTTGAAATATTGATAACTTATTATTAGTCAACTTAACAAAAAAGTTTTTGTTTTGTGAGCTCTTAAAGAAAGTATTCTATATATCTCTATTTTTAAATTATTTTTATACTAGATTCCATATATATTTATATTGATCTTGAATTTGCCAGTTCCATCTCTTCTTGGTTCTATCTCAAGTTATCCATTAATAGATTATTACTTTGTTATTTGTTTTTTTAATGACTTGTCTTATAGAAACATCTAACACTATATTATATCATTTAATTTTTGTGATAATCTTGAATAAGATAAGATTTTTTTATTTTATCACTAAAAATTTTAGTACTTTTTGAACAAGAGTATTTGCTTCTTTATTATACTAAATATGGAAATATATTTTGATCTTAATAAGCCAAAGATCTAGTTTTTTTTTTTTTTACAATATTCAATATTTATACCTATAAAAACCAATTTTGTTCTTTTAACCATCTTTTGTAGACCATTCTGAAGTTTTTCTTTGCTATAGTTTTTCACTTTGAAATATAGGCTTGACTATTTATATAGATTTTGATCTTACTATCTATCAGAGTTACTAATAGTATAGTTATTATTACTACTAATTCTATCCTAATGGATAAAGACCAATTAGCTACTTTAATTTGAAATTTGTTTTCTTTTCCTATCTTTTCTATCTATATTAATACTGTTTTCATTTTTATGTTTATATTTCTATAATTTATAAAAAATCTATTGAAATAAAGAATCATTATTTATTTTTAAAAAAAAAACTCTTTCCGCTGATCCCCTTTTTCCTAAAAAATTTTCTTATTTGGTAATTTTCTTAGAAAAGAGAAGCCAGCCTCAAAAGCACTTTATCCTTTAAAGATTTAGGACTTAACAACAAACTACAACAGTTAATCACCTTTTCAAAGCCCAACTTATCGATAAAGAGAAGTATTGGCAACATAGCATTATACTAGCTTTACTTTACAAGGGAAAGGAAAAACAATCATAAACTAATTCACAGTAAGCTTAGGAGAGCCCAATATCAACTTCCTAAGCTTCTAGTCAGGCCAGTGTCGGTTTACACCTTTCTAGGCACTAGAAGGAACTCTGTAAACAGTAATTCTTACCG